CCATTGAAAATGAATGGGAGCATGTCGCTTTGTCGCTGTGTGTCACTGGCAGTGTGAACGGGGCTTAATACTAATCCCGTGCGAATAGGGCTTAAGAAAGGATATTTTCGTGGCCACAGAAAATAACTTTCTTACAGTATTAATGCATTAGAGCATGTAGCTATAGATCGGATCGTAAAAGGGAAATTATTCATAAGCGTTTTGAACGCTTTTGCGAACGCGTTTTGAAGCCGTTGAACGAGCGTCCGGATGCAGTCTCGGATGAAAGTCTTGATGGTTTGGAGGTGGTGTTGGAGTCGCGATCACGTTCTTCCGGGTTTGAAAAGTGATGAACTCCAAAAAGATGTTATTCTGACTCTGTAGTGGTCGGGAGAGTTTTCTCCCAGATGGAAAGTGATGAGACAAGAGAGCAGAGCTAGAGAGACATCAGCTGAGATTCAAGGATCTTTGGTGAATGGAGAGACAAGGCCGCAGCCTGGCACAAACTTAGGAGGTCCTTCGAAGACTAGCTCAGTATCCTCACCTTCTCAGAATCTAAAAGAACCTAGACTGAAGGCGGGTCACTGATGTGATTGCCTTTATCTTCTATCGAGGTCACACCTCTGGTGGATCAAAGAGCCAATGGTGTCTTGAACTTTTGGAGGGAAAGTTTACAACTCTGTCTCCACGCATGGTATTTTGCATATGCAACTGGATTGGATGTTGATATGCAAACTAGTAAAGATTCTTAGAACACTACTATGTTGCATAAGTATCAACATATAATATACACTCTCATTTAGATCATCAGAATACAAATTCATAGAGACCAAACATGGTATAAGTGGAGGTCACACCTCTGGGGGATCAAAGAGCCAATGGTGTCTTGAAATTTTGGAGGGAAAGTTTCCTACTCTTTGTCTCCAAGCATGGTATTTTGCATATGTAACTGGATTGGATGTTGATGTACAAATTATTAAAGATTATTTGAACACTAATATGTTGCATATGCATCAACATATAATATACACTCCCATTTAGATCATCAGAATACAAATTCATAGAGACCAAACATGGTATAAGTGAGGTGATATTAACTAGTGATCTATCATAAGCATGCATAAAACAGTATACAATACACAAGACCATATACAAGAACGTAATAATCATACACAATGACCTGGGGATATGCATGATAGGAAGGTTATAGAAAAAAAAAGTCTATGAATTAAATGAAAGAAGTCATTTCCTATAGCAGTATGTGTCTGTTTTAGAGAGAATTAAGTGGGGGGGAAGGGGAAGATTCTCTCTACATACTTTTAGGTCGTAAAGTTTATCTGGTCTGGCTGAGGTATCCTGGTGGTTACCATGGTAATCAGGGGCCTGGGGGTCGTTCACAGACATCCTGGCACCCAGTATAGTTGTTGGGTGAGGGGTCTGTGATTATTTGTTAATCTAATGAATAATTGATTTGTTAATTCTAATGAAGAAATTTGAAAGAAATTGGCCACCCTGTGGCACTATAGTGCTTTACGTCTCTCATATCATGTGATGTTTCATACGAACACACAATATTCATATCATATGTTAGATTTCCTCATTCTGAACAACTTTGCCTCAAGAACCACTGCTGTCAATCAAACCTTTCATTAAATATTTGATATCATGTAAAAAAACAAAACAAAACAAAAATACTTTTCAAACTCATCCTAGACAGTTTGTCCAATTTTCACCAAAATTCCAAAAATCCATCTGGGAGATTATACATTTTATTTTGATCCTTTAGGACTTTGTAACTTTTAAAAACTGTTACATTTGCATTTGCAAATCTCTCTTTCAGGAGCATGAGTATGTCCATAAGAAGGGACCCAAAGTGAACTCTCAGAAACCCAAAGTGTTCAAATGCCCTAACTGTGACAAAGCCTTTTCCAAACCCAGCCAGTTAGAAAGACACAATCGCACACACACAGGTAAAGCAAATCTTCGCTCTTGCTTTGTTGATTACTGTATTGTCTTTGTCCCACATATAGACATTTCTGTACAGCATAGCAGTTGATGCCACTAAGCTGTTAACTGCCTGTTGTGATTTGTGAACCTTGGAAGTCTCCTCAGTAGTTCATATACCTGTATCGTAGGACTTTCAGTCGATTGAAAATTGTATTTACATAAAGTTTGTTTTGTTTTTTTGTGTGTGTGTGTGTGTACAGCTGAAATGAGTTAAACTTTAAAAAAGTGCATTTTAAGACTCCATTATAATTAATTTATTAGTATGTTAAATTGACATCCATAAACACCATATAACCTCACTGAGTTTTTTGAGAGCGAAATGTTTTTAAATTGCACATCTTGAGATGTCAGTGTATGATATAATGCAGATTCATTCAGCAAACGATTCATTGGTGTGTTTGTTTGGTTTCAGGTGAACGGCCCTTTAAGTGTCCGCTGTGTGACAAAGCGTTCAATCAGAAAAGTGCTCTGCAGGTGCACAGGGTCAAACACACAGGCGAGAAGCCCTACAGATGTGAAGTGTGCACTATTAGCTTCACTCAAAAGAGCAACATGAAGCTGCATATGAAGAGATCTCATGGTTATCTGCCGTCCTCCAACAAACTGATTGGTATGTGTGGAGCATCTTCAGTTCTGTCAGTTCCTCAACAGCTTATGTTTACTGATCAGAATGCTTTTAAGATCATGAGAAACAAATAGTTTTTTAAAAAGTCAATGTCACTATTATTTTCTAAGACATTGCATTGTGGATTGCCACTGGATGACTTCTAAGCTGTCTTGGGTTTAGGAACTACTTTTACCATTAAAATGCTCAATAGATTACTCTGAAGTTTAAGAGCAATTAGGAATTTTACTCCTAATTTTAGAGTAAGGACCTACTTTTAGATTTTTTTTTTTTTGTGAATACAAGCCCTGGAACAATGTCTTATGGGCAAATGAATCAAAAGTAAAACTTTTTGGTAGACTTGGGCCTGCACAGCTGGATCATGCAGGGAGAAAATGATCTGATACATACAGATAAGTCTACCACAGAATAGCTAAAAACATGAAAATTGACGTTTTTAAATGCTGTGGCAGGACCAGAAATGCTGCTAAACGAAAAGACATTTTCACAGCACTGTACACTAATATTTATTTTTCTTCTAATTGGCTTTGTCTGTATTTTTAACTGCCACCATTTTAACCATTTATAATATCAGCAAAAACTGACTCGTTCTGTCAACCTTCTCTTAATTTGTTCACAGCAAAACCACAGGAAGTAGAAGTGGTGTTGGAACACGATTCTGAGTCAGATTCCCAGCAGGCACCGTCACAGGAGGGCAAAGAGACTCAGTCAGAGCTGGATCTGGAGGAGGTGGTGCAGGAGTCTTCAGAAGACTGGCAGTGTCCCATCCCCACAGTCTTCCCATGAACACCTGACAGCAGCACACATTCAGTTCGATTTGATTTCAGTTACATTTGCTTAATTTGATATTAGCAATGCCAATTACTATCTTTTTATTCTTGCCAGCAAGTGTGACTTACATTGCACAAATCACACATTTCTTTATGTGAATGTACATGATTTTGTATACTTCTTGTTACATTAGAAAACCAGTCAAAGACAGAACTTGCTGTTGTGTTTGAAAGTTTAATTTTTTTAAGGTTTTTTTTTGTGCTATTTTTAATTTGGAGCCATATTTGTCACTACTAAAGTAAACATTGTACTTGTGTATTGGAATGGACATTCTGTAGTTTTCAGTTGTATCCTTACCTGTGGTAAAACTAAAACAGCTATTTAGCACAGACAACACTGTCTGACATTGTCAGTATGTCAAAAGACTGTATAATTACATCTAATATACTAGAGCTGTAGAGCTGTTTATTTGATTTAATCCTCGATACATCATATAAATCAGTTTTATAGGAATAATCCAATTTTGGCAAACATTTTTGTAATATGCAAAAATATTTAAGAATAAATGTAGTTTTTTTTTTTTTCCCAATGTTTATCCTTTTTTCACTTTCATTCACTTATTATTTTTGTTTTTCTGCAGCTTTATTCTAGGCTTTTAATCTGTTCATATGAATGTATAGGTTTTATATATGGGTTTATTTATGGATTAAGTGGGACAGCATGGAGTAGTTTATAATTAAACTAAATGAAATCTGAAACACTGAATACACACACTGAATACATATTTTGGTATTTGTTGTTGATTTTATATGTGCACTTATAGTAGCTCTGCGTGGAGCGAATATGCATGACAATTAAGTCTTGCATGAACTTAAATGGATTCAAAATTTAATATCCTGTTGATCAGTGAGTGATGACTATTTTTTCAAGCACTGCATCAATACTTCTGCAGTGTTTATCAAGCAGTTATTGAGCAATGGTACAAAAAGAAGGCAGCTACTCTAGACATCCTTTAGAACCAAATAAGTATATACAAAACATGTTCGCTACTATAGAATTGTAGCATAAGCATTTTAAATAATTAAATTATATTGGTACATTGTTACCAATAGCAAGTCCCAAGTGTGAGGTACAAAGCACCATATGACTAACATGGCAACTATGTAAAATCCTAACGTAAAATTAATTTATACTGAACTAACACAACAAACCCAGCCTCCTCGATTAAGTCCACTACATGCCGTAAGTGGATTCTTACTTGCATTTTGTAACATTTGCTAAACTGATTTTAAATAGCAAAAATGCTAAATACACTCTAAAAAATGCTGGGTTAAAAAGGGACAAACCTAGCTATTGGGTTGTTTTGACCCAGCAGTTGGGTTCAAAACAACCCAATAGCTGGGTTTGTCCCTTTTTAACCCAGCATTTTTTAGAGTGTACACTCTAAAAAAAAATGCTGGGTTAAATATAACCCAGCGCTGGGTTAAAAAGGGACAAACCCAGCGGTTGGGTTGTTTTGACCCAGTGATTGGGTTCAAAACAACCCAACCGCTGGGTTTGTCCCTTTTTAACCCGGCATTTTTTAGAGTGTAGGCATAAAAAGAACCACAAAAATAAAAAAGTTTCAAACTTTTAATTGTCGCCATTAATTAGGTGTAACAAACACAGAAGACATCAAATATTCTTTAGTTTAAATAAGACCCCTTTTTCCATTTGTTTTGCATGAATAGAAAAGGAAGGCTCAAACTATGATGACCAAAGGACACAGAATCAGTCATACTCAAACTAACTCAATCTATGGTTACCAAATTCATTAGAAATCTCTGGATCCAAACAAACATTTAAAGAACAGTTTGTGTTTGGAAGTATAATATACATTGTGGATTTCAGAACACAAGTTATGCATTATGGGATGCAGACTACCTCCTGGCAAACCCCATCACACTGTATGGAGAAGACTGTTCATCAACATATAAAAGGTGCAGAAAACACATTTGAGGTCTAATACACAACATGCTAAGAGAGGTACTGGTTACACTTAAGCTGTGTAGAGGTGAGTGTTGATGCTACAGAGACAAGACAAAACCATTTCAAAGATCAAACATACACAACTATGTCAATACATGTTTGACAAGACTAAACAGGAATAATTCAGAAGACCGATTGCGTTGTAACAGTGCAAAAGCCTTTTCAAGTCAATGTTACTGTATTAGAAAAATAAAAAAACTTTTTTGCATTCGTTTTCCATCCTTTTCATCCTCTTTATCTTTGAGTGGGTAATGAGGTTTCAACGCTTGGTAGATGAAGCAGACTGGCTTCCGCCCTGAAAAAGAGACTATTAATAAACACAAACTAAATTTTAATAACGATGTCACATGTTCATTACTGATGAAAAATGCTGTTACCAATTTGAAGATCCGGGTTAAGGTATCTCCACGTCCCTTCTGGCCTTTGGTGGAGCTCTGTGATTTCTGCTCTCTCTGTTAATAAAGCAGATAGTGTTGTGCATACTGTGGTTTTTCATTTAGAAGTGTTTTCATATCTCCAAAATTGGAGAAAATCATTTTGTCAGTGTTTCAGAAGTCTGAGACAGGCTGAATAACAGTTTTTCGCCAGAACAGTGAGTTATAAAAAAAACAGCCCCTGATGAAAAGCAAATTGATGATAATGAAAAATAAATTCAAAGTAACAAAGCTACTGATTACTAATAAAATACTATAATAAAATATATACTATGTATGGGACTGAGGTAGTGGGAGTTTGCTGTTTCCATGATAACTGAGTAAAATCAAATTGTGAATTCAAATCGAATATATAAATCACCTAAAGCATAAAGGGAATAGCTGTCCACCTCAGAAGACTGAAACTTACCCTAGATTTGGGGGTAGAGGGAGAAACCTAATTGGGGGGGAAAGCAAAATACAATGAAAATCAATTTTTAAAAAACTATTATTGATTCTGTCTTTAAGTGTTTTCATTTTTTGGTGTAGTGTGAGAGGGAAAAAGGAGGAAAGAGAGATACAAACAATGGTTCTGAAAAAGTGCATGACAGCATTCTCATCTGGACGGCGACGAGGAGATGCGCTCGATCTTTGAGGTGATGCAGACAAACCACCACGAAAAGACCCCTGTGTTGAAGAGACGACATTTCTGATCATTAAACATTTAATCAAAACTGTACCTTCAGACTAAAATGTTTGATCTAAACTTTTAAAGACAGAAGGAAAATGGGAAATTGGGGAAAATGCATAGGGAAAATACTTCCATAACCAAGGCTGATGAAAAAGTGGGCCTACTGTATTATGAATACTGTACATTTTCGACATACCTCTTTTCACATTTCACATACTGTTTTTCACTTATGTAATAGGGAAGATTGCATATTTGAATACATCCTTCACCTCCCTCCCTCTTTATTTCATAACAGTATTAGTCTGCATATCAATGGTTCAAGCTTCCATTGCTAGCTCTAAAATGACGTTTTGAAATTAGCAACAGAGGATTGGAATGAGATGCGTAAGAAATTAGTTCAACACATAAGAGTGTTTTAAGAACAAAAACCTGACAAATGTCTTCAGGAAGAAAAAAAAACATCTGAACATTGTCTAAAGGTGTGGTAACCCTCCGGCTACTAACGTAACCTCAGTTCCCTGACATAAGGGACACTTGTGGGAAACTCCTGTTTACTCTGATACTGAAGCATGATTTGTTCACGTTCATGTAACTGCATGAAACAATGGCGCTTCAACCCATTAAAAGAGTAGGAGCCGACCACTATATAAGTTGGCTCAGAGAAACTCATGAAATGAAAACTCAATTTCATGAGAATCTTTCGACTGAAGTGACAGTCATCGATTCGCATGCAGCCTTATAGCATGGCAGCCTACGCAAAGCTCGTTCCCTTATCTCAGGAAACCGATGTTACGATAGCAACCGGAGCCTTCCCTTTGAACGGTCTCTCCTGTTTGATCGCTGACACTTGTGGGGAACACATCTTAACTGCCAACTGACTGTTCAACCACAAAAGAATGATTCGCCACGATGGCTCCCACACATACTTTGAGCATGAAAGGGGAGCACCCCTTATCCGCCAGCTCTTGTAGAATGGTTAGCACGTATGACACGTCGCACGATGACGGGTCCTAGTTCCATGCTGAACACCAGTCAGAGAAGACCAACCATTTAAGGGCATAAAGACGTCTTGTAGACTGAGTTCTAGCCTCTAAAATGGTATTAGTTACACTCATGGGGAACTGCAAAGGCTCCTGTCAAGGGGCCAAACATGAAGGCTCCATAGCTCTGGCCAGGGATGCCAAAACATGCCCTTCGCTTGCGAGAGAAGGTCCTTCCTCAGTGGTATCGGCCAAGGGGCTGCTGATAGCAGCTGAATCAACTCAGGGAAACACATCTGATTCCTCCAGAGTGGGGCCACCAAGAGGAGTGAGCATCTGACTTCTCTGACCCATCTGATGAGGAAGCAGGGCAACTGGGGGGGAGGCATACAGGTGAACGCTGGGCCAGTCGTGGGCCAGGGCATCTCACTGCTTTGAAAAATAAATTGGGCAGTGAAAGTTCCAAGAGGTCCATCTCTGCCCTGCCGAAGACAGACCAGATCATTTGAACTGTTTGAGAATGTAGTCTCCATTCTCCTGAAGCCACATTGTCCCTGGACAACATGTCTGTCCCTTGGTTCAGTCTACCCAGCACATGAACTGCTCTCAGTGAGAGGAGTTTGCCTTGTGCCCATAAAAGGAGGCATCGAGCCAACCTGTGAAGTGAGCATGACCTGAGACTGCCTTGGTGATTAATAAAGGCTACCATTGTCATGTTGTCCGAACGGACCAGGACATGGTGCCACTTTAAGGCTGGTAGGAAGGTTTTTAGGGCTAGAAAAACCACTATCATCTCGAGGCAGTTGATGTGTAAGCATTGCTCCAGGTTTGACCAGAAGCCGGATACAGGTCTGCCCTCGTACAGAGCTCCACAACGCAAGTTGGAGGCAACTGTTGGGACAACCTTCCTTCTGTAGGTCAGTCCTAACCGGATGCCTAATTGAAAAAGGTGAGATTTTTCCAAGGGGCTGAAAACATCCCAGGCACCAAGCGTGGGACGGGACATGGGCTTTGAGACAATACTGAGGCCTCATGTGAAGCAGGCCCAGAGGAATCACAGAGGAATCGGTGACATGAGGCTAAGTCCCCAGTTTGAAAGACGCCGCTAGCTGCTGAACAGTCAGGGAGCATTCTGGCATAATCCATGCCTGCATCCATGCAGAATCGATAACTGTCCCCAGAAAGACCACTCGCTGGCTGGGAGACAAAGAGCTCTTGGCTAAATTGATTCTCAACCCAAGCCGCTCCAGGTGGCTGGGCAGCAGTGACCTGTGAGCGATGAGTTCCCATTCTGATCTGGCTAAGACCATCCAATCGTCAAGGTAATTCAGAATGCTGATTCCCATCTGTCTTAGAGGGGAAAGAGCTGCGTCTATGCACATTGTAATAGTGCGTGGTGCCAGAGACAGTCCGAATGGCAGGACTGTATACTGATAGGCCACTCCCTCGAATGCGAATCTCAAGAAAGGTCTGTGATGAGGGGTTATCTGGATGTGAAAGTAAGCATCTTTCAGATCCACTTATAGAAATCAGTTATCGGGGCGTCTTTGTGCAAAGATCTGTTTCAAAATCAACATCTTGAACGGAGGCCGCGGGCGGGCTCTTCCGGAGCCGACCAGGCCAGGCCGAGATCCTCCACAGCCTTGGTTAGAACGCAGATCAGCTTGCTGTCCATGCTGGGCCGCGTCGAAGGCAGGGTTTCAGGCTCTTCGCCGGAACACGCCCACTCTTCGGCATCCCTAAGCTGTCAATGACATGGAGTCATCAGTGACAGCCTCCTCCTCAGATCCGCCGAAGGAAATCAAGCTGCTCATAGCCAACGAGGGCCACTGATTCTCAAGTGTGAAGCACACTGACGAATCGAGGCGTTGGGGGTCTGCTGTTTCTTCCTCCTAGGGGAGAGGGGAAATGGGAGAGCAGAGCGGGGAGGACCACCTTCATTAAAGAAGGCAATCCGCGAGTGGAGAAATGCGAGACTCATGTTCTCGCACTGAGAGCATTCCGTCCCGGTGAGCGCAGCCTCTGCGTGGGTGCTGTTCAGACAGGTGACGCACTCACCACGCCCATCTGCATTGTGCAGATGTTCCCTGCATGAGCCACACTTGTGGCACGACATTTAAAACAACGCTGCTGGAAATTTGCTCAGAAATTTGTTCTAAATTGCGCCGGATGGCCACAGGGGAAGGCTTCTGGCTTCTTCCGCTTCCAGGGGCTCCTTCTCACGGCAGTGAACAGCAGGCTGAGCTTCTTTCTTCTTCTTCGGGTTCTTGCTTACAGAGTCAGCAAGGAGATGATCTTCGTTGCTGAAGAAGAAAAATTCTGACGAAATGGTGCTCAGAGCCACTTTAGGTGGTCAACTCCTCCCCTTTTGGCAAGTTGAAATGATGTGCTTTGTATTATATTACCATTGCATCAAATTACAAAAAAACTAGTTTACGCTAATGCGCGGGTGTTTCTAATGCAGCGTCTATGGGAGGGACGGTAAATTTGACATTGTTCTCTCTTCTGACTGCCGTTATCAGTCTCTCTCAGTTTTTTAGCAGATCTCATTCATTGATCTGCTAACCGCTATGTTATGCTCACGTGTTCTGAAAATAATAGCTTTCTAGGACTAAACATTTTTTGGATATAATTGGTAAAAAACAACAACAACTAAATCTTTTAAAAACAGATTTAGAAAAACTAAAAAGCAATTTATTTCATTTGTATCATTATTATTTTTTTGTGCTATCATTAGTAATTTGTTTATTTGTCCTTATTTTATTACTGACTGCTTACGTGTCATTTTTTATTCAATTCAAAGTTTGAAATCAAGCTATCTTGTAGTACTGCAACAAAATTACCCCACTGTAAAATCAAAAATACAATGAGTGAGCAAAAATTTGTGAGATAGCTAGTTATAATGGTAATTAAACAATGTTTACATATAAATAAAAGCCTACATGAAAATCTGTCATATAAATTGGTCTTTCTAATCTCTCTTCATTAGAAATTAGCCTACTGATTGCCACCATTGATGGACAAATAATTTAATAATATAAAAAATATCTGTATAACAGTATATTCTGCAGTTCTTCCCTGCTGTACCGAATATCTATACTTTTCAAGGTATCATATCGAAATTAGAAATTCAAGTATTGTGACAAAATTAATTGTGTAGGGTGCCACAAATTTGTTAAAATTTCCAAAGGGAGCCGCGGCTAAAAAAAAGGTTGGGAAACACTGGTCTAGATGGCTTTGAAACCGCTTAGCCAATTCACTGAAAAGAAAGAACCGACTCAAAAGGATTGTTAATTCATGAATGATTGTTAATTGCTGGTTTAGTGGTCAGAAATACAGGACACACATATTAACTGCTGAAATGTTTGCAGGGAAAAGGTTTCTCAGGTCAGTCCGAGCGCTCATGCACATAGCCTCACCTGCAGGAACTGCCATCCTCTTAAATGTTTAGAGTTGTGATGAAACTAAAGTAGTGACATCTTTTCTTCCGTGTTGTGATTATATCCGAGTGATGATGGGCTTAGGCCGTTTTTGACTACTCAGTCACACTTTTGTGTACAGTAAAAGTGTGTGTGTGTATGTGTGAGAGAGAGAGAGATCATGAAGACTTGTATTTTGGCTTATTCAGTACTCAAATGTTATAGGCCTATTATATATATATTATACCCTCATTGGGGGCTGAGCCCCCCTAAAATGAAAATCCTAGAATCGCCCCTGCGAGTGATCCTATCGAGAGAAAAAAAAAAAAAAGGGGAAAAAAGTGTGGTGGGGATTTGGTCCTATCCATGGTTTTTCTTTTGTTTTGTTTTTTTTATTGAATTTTGAGATGTGAGTGTTGCACTCAAAAATAGAGGCAGATGATTGTGAGCTTGGGTTTAAGCAGTGTGGTATACAACAGAAACAGAATGGGAGCCTGTGTTTATAGCCGGTGATTTGTTGAGCCACACCGCATTCGGTGTAGACAGTATCACTGATTATAATGGGTTATATTGGTTTTGTAGTTTGTAATAGGTGCG